CCCCCCCCAAACTTGCCTAGAGGTAGGCAAAAGTTTTTAGCAAGCAGGCAATCACAGGGGAAAAAAACCCCGCCAAGTCTCCATAACGACGACAGTTATTGCTATTAAAGGATAATTGTTAAGCGAGTCATAACAATTTTGTCTTTCAGACTGGAAATTGCTCTCTTCAGTGTTTTTCAATATATTTGTTGTCAAACGCTGCGTGGCAAGAAGGGAGGCTCACTAAGTGCGTGCACGGCAGTGCGGCTGCCATTGCCTACGCCTCCACCTCTAGCACTGCCACTTACACTTGCTTGCTACCATGAAGGGAAGCTGCAGCCGGGACATACCTTGCAGCACACCCGCTGGGGCTTTCTAGGTCCTCTGCAGCCTAGCGCACAAATCGTGTTGCTGCGGAAATAACAGCGATGTCACAGATGTAACAGCAAAAAAAAGGGAGAAAAAGTATTCCACAGCTGGCGTTCTCTGAATAATAAAATGGCTATTACTTTGATAATTAAAGTTGATAAAAATGTAAAAAGCCTTGCAGTTTATAAATATGCACAAGCACACAAGAATTGTGCACTCGCCTTTTTTCGAGTTCTCTTTCACTATATGGAATACCAGTGCTAAATATATCAAAAATCCTGTTTAGAAAGGATTTTTGTACACTTTTCAGACAGGATTACATAGTAACAGTTCTAGTGCAACCAGAGAACCCCTAAGTAATTTTAGAAACAGGGAGGTTTTTTTTTCCCATTAACTGCAGAACTGTTGAGAAATTATGGTAATATTGGCAGACTAAGTTATTTGCTTGAGCAGCTTCTTCCTTTCAAAGCTTTGCTGTTTTCTAGCATTTCAACTGTTCTTTGGTTTTACACAAGGTTGTAGTATTAACACAGAGGTAACGTCGGGAAGTTTGATACTAAATTAAGCACTACATTAAAAAAACCTGTTGAAGTGAATTCATCTGTTATCGCCATACAACTAGAACTGCATTGCAACACTTAGTTCTACAGTCAAAACCTTGGCCATTCATTTTTCTTTAGAAACATTTCTCTTAACTCACTATACATATGAGCATTTAAAAATTGCAATAAACATTCAAACAAACGGAACCACAGGTAATATAAAATAATTTATTCACATAATTTACATATAGAATATGACTGCTTTCTTTGAAACAGAAAGCTTATACACGATTATACACCTGTCAGACAACCCTTTAAGCAAAGCGGTCCTGTGCCACATCTTCTTTAAAAACAAAAACAAAAACTAATAAGCATTGAGACTTCACAATGCTTTTCTTCCATCCTTCACCATTATAAAGCTTCCACATGTAAACAGAACAAAAGTTGTCTTATCTCTATTCAAATTAAATTTGGAGGTTTTTTTGTTCTGTTCTGTTCTGTTTAAAAGAGCGTCCTATAACAAAGTGCACATGGTTTGCTGTTGGGGAGGTGAGAGGGAAGAGTAGCCCCAGTTAATAGGATAGATAAGGCACCTTAAATCTTAGTTATGAAATAATTCTTATATTTGCCTTGTAATTTGATTGCAAGCTAAAGCATATGCAACTAAATGCAGAATGGCTATCACCTTAGAAAGTACTTAGGGCACATTATTTTATAGCCCTCTCACCTCGCAAATCTTCAGGCTATATCATATATCAGTGCAAGTGATTTGAACATGCCACACAACAGGAAATAAACACTTGCATACATGAAATGGTATCTACAAGATATACAATACAAGGATTAATGTATACATTAATCTATTTCATAATGTTTACAGTAAGATGATATTTAGATAAACATTTCAAGTTAAACGGAATAGGCAGAACATACGATACTGTCTGAACAGAAACTTTTTTTTTGGACAGTATGCTTTCAAGTAAGTTTATTCTGGAATTTTTAGTCCCTTTTTCATTGTCTCAAGAAAATACAGCCGCTTGTGACATGTGGTTGACAGAGGCCTCCTAATGTACTAATTCATAGTGGCTTTTCTGCGTATTTTCCCTTACTGATAAAGTTTTAAAGGCTTCTTCAGAAGCCTTGCCAATAATTTCTGAAAAGGCAAACACTCTCAAGCTTCATCAAATATTTCAATATTAGCTAGATACTTATATGAAAATATTTGCCATTAAAATCACTTTCCAGCCTGAAACTGAGAATAGATTTCTAGAGAGCATAACAATACAATTTAAACATCAGTTTCTCTTTCACAACAAATCACTTTTTTGCAAAAATACCTGTTGGTATTAAGCAACAGAAGAAAAATTTAGACTTCTTAAATCTACACACTTCCTTCAGGTAATAAAGAGTTTGTGAATTAATATTCAGTCTTTCAATGACCACCTGACTTTTAGAGTGCATGAACTTTATCTTGTCAAGGGAATCTTCTTACTATGCAAGTGTAAAATTAGACTAAAATCTAAAGCTACAACAGAATTTTATAGTAAGTTGCAGTACAGGGGGACATGAAAACATACGGAAAACTATTCAAATGTAACTGCTTCAAAGCAGCAAATCCTCAAAGCATCCACATTTTATAGTCAAGGATTAGATACAGTTCTGTTTGTGCTACTTCACACAAGCGGGAACTCTTCAGAAGTCAGCAGAGACGTATACACCTACATATAATACCAAAGAACAGAAATGGCATTTAGTCCCTTGTTTTCAACATATCTAATTTAGAGGGGAATTAGCATTTAGATTGGGAAATGTTAATCTCTTCTTCCCCCTCAAACAGGATAGCTGGAAAGAATAACCTAGTACAGCATCTTTTAATAAATTAAATATGTTTTCCAGGTTTCTCTCTATACATTTTAAAGGAGTTAAAACCATGTGGCTTTTCAAGTCAGGCTCTTTCAATTTACATGAGACTTCTTAATTACAAAAATACATAATTTGGAGATGCCAATAAAAAATAGGTGGCAATGCTGAACATATCTATGTATTTACTAGACTACACTTGCAGAATTTCCTTCTTGATCTACAGAGATTACACTATATATAAAAAGTTCATTCCTCCTCCTAACAGGATACTTCACAAAAAGAAGCAAAGAACTTGTATAACCAGTATCACAAGCTTTAGCATTATGATTCAAAGGGATACTGTCACAAGAGTAAGCATTTATTCATTGCACTTTTCTGGAAGATAATCATGCGCCCACTAGCAGCATCTGAACAAGTCAAAACATAAGCCAGCAGCCGCTGCTCTGGTCCAATGACATCAACGTAGTGGTTCAGGTTCTGTCAACATTTTTTTTAAAACATCCAGGTTGCTTCTGAGAGATTTGCATCTTTTCCAAAGCTTATTATCAGCCAAGCTGTTGTTACAAGTTTGACATAATGGTAGAACAAGTAACAACTTTTCTAAATACTGTTTTGTTGTCGCATTACACTCTTGGATCCAGGATTTCATCAAGCCATTTTGCTATTCTGAATCATCCACTTCCATAAAGATGTCACTGAAAAAATACTCAGAGATTCTGGTTGGCTCTTCTTCCTTCTCTTGGTCTTTAGCACAAAGGGATGGCTTCTCAGCTCGCTCGTCACTGGGAACCTGTAAGAAAAAGAAAAGGCTGCTCTTAGCAGTCTTCATCTGCTTGTGTCTATATTTATACACACACACACACACTTTATACATATATACACACACATACTTGAGCCCCCACTTAGATAGGAAGTTCAGATACAAACTTCAGAGTTTACTGAAAATGGAAAACAAGCACACTGCCCCCCCTCTTCTCTGTTGACAACAGTATACTTCCTCAGGGAAAAAGGATTAATATTTTAGGGGAGGCATATGCTAGGCAACAATCATTCCCCATTGTTTGACTTCACTGAATTGGTTTGGGTTTCAGTTAAAACAGAGAACCATGGCTATCGATTAATTCCAAGATACAAAACTTCACAGGATACCAATCCTGGACCCACACACATAAGCACAGATACCAGTAGAAGCCCTCACAGCATCACACAAGTTTTGGATGGATGCACAAATGTACAACTTCTGCTAAAGTAACAATAGAAAAACGGCCCACAGCTGTCACAGAAACCAAATATTAATAAATATATGTGAACAGAAAAAACAACTCAACTCTTTATGAGTTTCCTAGACATGCACAGGTCAGGGTTATATCCACTGCAGCAGATACTGCTCTCAAAACCTGGAACACTATACGCCTACCTAACCGCTCCTAAAATGACAACTACTGTTCTTCACATATCAAAAATGGGACAACATTCAAAAGTAAACACATACCTTAACTGCAGCATCAGCAGCTATGCTCTCACAGTCCACAGATGACGTACTGGTAGAGGGAAGGGAACAGGATTCCCTACCGTCCTCATTGGACAGAGTAGGTTTTTTTAGACTTCGCTTTGGGGTCACTATTCGAGGTTTCTGGACCTTCCCTCTATTCCCTTTGGTATCCTCTGGAGATTCAGAGCTACTTTTTTTGCAAATTAAAGATAAAAATCCCAATGGTTTTCGACCACCCCTATTCAAAACAAATACAGTCACAACGTTGTAAGGATCGTTCCACAAAGCAAGATACAAATAGTGCTATAGGAGTCCAAGTCATTACACAACAAGCAACAAACACCTCAGATGCCAAAATATACATATATACATATACTATATATATAGTAATAATAATACTAATAATATAGTAATAATAACAAAATATTTAGGGTTTGTGTTTTTATTATTCTGAGAAAAGCTTTTGTATTACTGAATAATCTGGCACAAGAAGAGTTTTCTGAAGAGTTACAGAAGCTCTCAACAGTCTCCAACCCTGACAACAGCAACCTACCATTTGCTACTAAGACAGAGCCTATAGCAAGCTCCCTGGATCTTCAGAGATTCCAAGTGGAATGGACATATTCCTAAGAAAAGACCTAAAAAGAGATTCCTTCCTGTAATCAATGGAAAAGGATACCTCATTCAAGGATGGAGCCACACAAAACTGACCTAAGCACCAGAAAGACGACTCTGCGGCAGCCTTTCAGTCTATTGAGGTCATCCTACTTAGTAACAAGTAAATTGTTATATTATATACAGAAACTGGAAAGCAGTCACTTGTGAGGGAGGTGCAAAGAGTGCCAAAGGTTACTTTTCACATTGTTAAGAGTTTACAACCTGGAAAGTAAACTCTGAGGCAAGGATTCTCAATGTTCATGCATTACTACCCAGTTACTATGGCTATCCCAGGTACAAATAATACAATTTCGGTAGTCACAGAAGTATAATGAAAAAGGAGGAGTAAACAACAGGATCAGGACAGCAGCGGAGTACCGCAATCAAAACCAGTGAACGCAACAGCAACGGAGAAGAGAAACTCAAAACACTAGAGGGAACCGGGAAAGGTAAATTAAGAAAAAAATACGTCCAAACAGACATAAAGACAGAAAGATGAAAGAAACATCCTCTGAGCTGTCAAGACTGTAATTCCTTTGGGGAAATGACACATCTTAACTTAGCCCCAAAAATCCAGTATACTGAGTACTATACCAATAACAAATCTTACTGGCAGAAGGACAAAAATCAAAACAAGTGGACAGGTATATATATAATACAGCATTAAACTGACCTAAGGAAGAGAACAGTTATCTTAAATCCATATCATAGCCAACGGATGTCTGCCTCACAAGAGGCATCTGTCAGTGTCTACATAAACATACCATAGATCAGTAGTGTCCCTTGGTCATTCTGCTCATTTAATAACTAAAATACTTCAAACTTCAAAGCAGACAGTTTGATCCTTTCTAATTTGCTGAAGAGGACAGACACTATAATTCTTATCTGTGTAGGTCACAAACAAGGATACTGTCCTTCTTGCAATACTAAATGGAAAAGAGACATCAAAAACTCAATATGGAAACAAGGTCTCTAAACAGAAGAGGCTGACAAAACATTATTCCATAACTACCTGAGTAATGGAGTTTTTGAAGATGCTGCTAGGCTTCCAGTGTGTTCCAACTGTCCAGATTCATGCACGTCCACCAGTTTTCTTTGTCCACTTATTTCAGCTTTTCTCTCAGAGGTTAGCCTAGATATCACCTCTCCTTCCTGTTTGGATGTTGAATTCTCAAGTGATGCTGTCCCTGAATTCTGCAAAGTCTCAGATTGGCTTCTTTCAGCTAGCAGTGATGCAGGCTCAGACACAACTGCAGAGCTAAGTACCTTTTTCTTTGCTGAAGCTCCTGCCTTCTCAAAAAGATTCTCTGTAACAAGAGTTGAAAGTAATTCAAGGACTTCAACTGTTTACCCTCAGTAACAACACAATGGTCCAGAAGATAGGTGTGATGTCAAGATGGCTTCCACTACCAAAGGAGAAGGGCAGAGATTTTGTTCAGTTTGTGGTGGGGGTTGCGGGTTTTTTTTTGTTGGGCTTTTTGGGGGGATGGGGCGGGGGGGGTTGTTTTTATAACGTATCACCAAGAGTTTAAAGTTCCTTGTCTACTTTTAAAGTCCATGAGACCTTACAGATATTTGAGATCTTACAGATGTTATGGGGAAAAGTTAAAGTGTGGTTTTACAGTCTGCCAATCCTTTATAACACATGACAGAGTTTGCTCCAAGTCATCTGGCTACTTAAGCTTCTACAATTTCTCTTTAAAGCAAGGACCATCACTGAAGATCATATTGTCAAGAATTCTGGTTACCCCCTGTTGATTCTTCAGAGGCAGATAAGCCTTCAAAGAACTCTATGGTGCATGTATTTTCAAAAGACAAATATTAAATAAACTAACATATTATGGTATACTATGGTTAAAACACAGATAATATTTTCAGTTCATAGGTCTATAGAAAATAAAAAATAATATAGGTATATATATACACACATATATATGTATACATAAAAAGAAAGAATACATACATATATTTATGCTTTCTTTTATGTAAGAAAATACTATGTTTGGTCCAAACATCTTTCCCAGATGATGTTAAATATTTATCTTGCTTAAAAAGCTGGATAAATTTTATTGATATTTAAGTACAGAAGTTCCAACTCTTCTTCTAAGAAGATATTCAGTGTAAATAAGTGTAAATAAGAGACTGACGTATAAATAATTCAGAGACTGAAATGTTAAGAGACGCATTTGTTTGAAGATACTAAATGAACTATGATCAAAACAAAATTCCTTTCCAGATCCATCAATTAACATGTGATTTCTGTGCTTCAGAAAACCCTCCTATGAACTAAATTTTCTATTTATGGTTGTCATTATTAGGTTGGTGTGGGGTTTTATTTCTTAGGTAGGGATTTATTTTTTTTCCTTCAAGGAAGCAGACATCTGAAATCCATGAGCAGACTAACAGCGCTTTTAGAATCATCATTGTTTTAAGAGCCATGAGATTTTCAGAGATGGAATCCAACACATCTAGTTTATGGCAGAACACACAAAATGGTGGTATGAGGGGGAAAATTCTTTTCTACTCTAATGTCCAATTGCTGCTGGTAGGGCTGTTCAGCAAAAAGACAACCAATATTAAACTGTGGTGTACTATGCATTTATGCTCATCATACTCTGTTTTTACAACTTTAAATTTACCTACCAGCAGCTCTCCTTGGAGGATTTGTGGATTTAGTTGAATAATCCTGTATTAAAAAAAAAAAAAAAAAAAAGATAATTTATTGCTCTCACCATTCAAGAGAAAGTGAAAGTTGACAAAAACTTAAATCATGCATGCAGTTCTAAGAAGAACAGAGGTAATACAGAAGAAAACATCTTCAGTAGAGTATCAGGCATCTCTTCAGTCACTTCCTGAACAGGCTTTTGAAGGTGTTTCCATGACAGACGCCTCAAGGCAAGAAGATGAGAGGTCAGAAAAGGAAGAGGAATGTGTTATCCAGTCCTTTCAAGAGAAGCTCTCTCAATCATGTGGAGGTATTATCACCCATTCCCTCACACAGACACACTACAAAATCTTAGCCTGCTTATAAAAAATAATGGCAGTCACTCCTGTGAGCTTGGTCATATTCAGAAAGCACAGTGGGAAGCTGGAAACAAGCTGGCCAGTTTTTATTTGCAGCTTGTTCTTCTAGACTAATGACTACTACATTAAAAAAAAAGTAGGAACACATCTAACAACTTTTTCCTGTAACAAACTCCTCTAGGAATCATAGTATCAGCCAGTGAATCTAGACAGTCTGCCAGGTATCCAGTATATATCTAGAGTTCCCCCTCCAGCAACATCACTGACAGAAAGCCTGTGGTGAAGTAATCAGTCAAACAGACATATTACCATCATGTCAATTGGGAAGCCTGATTAAAAAAACCTAGAGATTCCCCCCAAAATCAATAGCCCAAAAACTGTAGTATGGTTCAAAATAAGCAATCTTTGGGTGTCAATGTGCAAAGTAGACAGCATATTTTTAAGCAAGTGACACACTGAAACACTAAAAATATAGTTAAAATACTCCATCACAGGTTGTGCATCTACACTGTATAAAAACTTATAAAAACTCACCTTATAAGTGCTTTCCAAGTTACCTACTCCTAAAGTAGACAGGATTTTCTTGGCAGGAGGAAAATCATTCTCTTCAAGCTCAGCAGCTGACCTTTTTTGAGTTGTCTCCACCAAACTTGAAATGGCCTCTACTGATGCACTCTGTAGTTGTTTGCTTTCTATACTGCTATTTAAAGATGCAGCAAGCTCAGCAACTGAAGTTGTCAAGGATCCAGTGCTGTTTATATATAAATATTTTATTGTGATATATAATATATATATTCATATATATTAAAAATATATTAGCATATTATTGTGACTGTAAAACAAATCAAAATTTACCTTGTGAAAGATTTCTGAACGACAATTAAACATGTATCTTTGGTGATATTCTTTCTTACCGCCAATAACAACTTTAAACGCACCATTTACCATCAAGAAACATTTTGTTGCACTCTCTTAAGATGAGTTAGAGAACTGAATTTTTTTACTCAGGCTTAATTACTTTAGAAGTTGTTCCATCTGAACTCCACTTTGTATGTTCATAAAGTGTAAAAATTGCCAGTGGGTCAACTACCCCAGATAATCCTACAATAAAGTACTATTCACTTGTGCAGCTTAATCTTCATTTTCCCCCACTACCATATGAGCTTAAAAGAGTGAAAAATCTAGGGAAGCAGCAGAGATTTGGGAAACTGGGTAAAGCAGTAAGAGTTTAGTGGAACAGGAAACGTACTCCAACTCTGCCTATCAGTAATTCTGCCTATCATCAACAACTCCATAGGAGTTTGAATTCTTAAACTGTGCGGCCAAGATCACAGAACGGTTGAGGTTGGAAGGGACCTCTGGAGATCATCTAGTCCAACCCCCCTGCTCAAGCAGGGTCACCTACAGCACATTGCCCAGGACTGTGTCCAGGCAGGTTTTGAATATTTCCAGAGGAGGAGACTCCACAACCTCTCTGGGCAACCTGTGCCAGTGCTCCGTCACCCTCACAGGATAAAAGTTCTTCCTCACGTTCAGATCGAACTGCCTGTGTTTCAGTGTGTGCCCGTTGCCTCTTGTCCTGTCGCTGGGCACCACGGAGAAGAGACTGGCCCCATCCCCTCGACACCCGGGTATCCCTTCAGATACTTGTACACATTGATGAGATCCCCCCCTCAGTCTCTCTCTTCTCCAGGCTAAACAGGCCCAGCTCCCTCAACCTTTCCTCATAGGAGACATGCTCCAGGCCCCTCATCATCTTTGCAGCCCTCCGCTGGACTCTCTCCAGGAGCTCCACGTCTCTCTTGTCCTGGGGAGCCCAGGACTGGACCCAGCACTCCAGGTGAGGCCTCCCCAGGGCTGAG